TGCTGCTGCTGCTGCGGCCGCCGCCGCCGCTGCCGCCGCCTCTGCCGCCGCCGTTCTTGCCGCTAATCCAGCTAGCCCGGTCTCTGGACACTCCGCGCAGGCGCACTGGGCCAGGAATAGAGCAGTTCTCTCTGGGTCCTAATGCAGCACCGGGAGAGGCAGATCCTAGCAGGAGCATGCGGAGCGGAATCACCTGGAAAAGGAGCGTCCGAGTAGAGATGCACAGCGAGCGGGGAGGGTGTGCGCAGCGCGCGTGCTGTCTTCTTAGCTTTTTGCAACAGTCAGCGCCGGGAGGGAGAGGCGGGAACCACACCGTTAGTCACGCAGAGGGAGAAGATCCTGACTCCGTCTGGCGAGGTTCTCGGTTCAACCGGATCTCCCGGCTTTATTGTGTGAGAGTTTCCGATGGAAGAGCTTCAGCGTTTGGAGAGACCTTCCGAAATGTCCCTAAACCGCGCCTTCGAATCTGCTGCTCCAGCAGAAGCAAGCCCTAGCGCTGAAGAAGGAGGGAGCAGCGCCAGAGAGACCCTGCATTTCTGCTGTCTAGGTCTATCAGCCTCGGATTCTGGTGGGAATCGTCTAAGTGGGAAAGGGATTATAGTCTAGGCTTCGTGTTGCATTGCACTTGAGATGCTCAGGCCATTTCCTCTTCGCTAGTGATTTATGGCATCTTCTAGCATCACCGAAACATCATTGTGGCAATAGGAAAGCCCATCTTCATAACTGAGATATCAGCATCAGGATGGTTGGATGACGCTGGAAGGTGCTATAAATTACCAGTGAGGAAATAGCCAGAGCCATCAGAGGTCTGCGGGTCTAATAGAGGGATTAAATTCAGCCTTCATTGTGAGAGCACAAGCTGAGCCAGCTGCAAGGGCGGAAGCAACCTCTCTCCTCACGCTTTTGCCAAAGATAGCAACATCTGACACTAACCACATAGCATTTTTTCTTCCCCAGAGAAAATGTGTGTCTCCCCCAATATCCGTGCACCATCTCTTCAGTTGATGTATGTAGTTCCAGCAAAAAAGAAAGAAACCCTTTCTGACATGAGTTATTTCTCAGCAGAAGTAGAAAGAAAAAAGGCATAAATGGCTCTTCCAACATTGGTTAAGAGAGCTCATATCAGTTCAGCTCAACTGCCAAATGACAAAAAATATAAACCATTACTTGCTTTGACATAGATAGATATGCATATGCTGCTTCATTTTCAATATTTGTTTATAGAAATGTTCGTTCCCCCCCCCCTCATTTGAGGGTACTGTTAATGAAAAAAATGCCACTGGGGCTCAAGTCTGGATGTCTAGGCATGTTCTAGTTTATAGTTCTGGGTCTGAAATCTTTTTAATGGTGCTAAACTTCAATATTTTATATTATGAGAAAGGGGGATGCTAAAAAAGGCACTAAAGCGCCAAGTAGCTGAAGTTCATGATGCTAAGGAATCAGAAAATGCATGTGGAAATTATTTCTTTAAATGCTTTCAGGTCACTAGGGTGATACCTAGTTGGGTATTCATCATTCTTCCTCTTTTAGTGCTGACTCCTATCAGAGCGTGGTGACCCTCAGTGCTATTTGTTCTGATGTTTTTCATACCCTTTGACCACCTAAGGTCCATCAGGGCCACTGGATACTAGTTTTCAGCCATTGTTGAATTCCCTGGGAAAATACAGTGTGCTAGTTTTCTGTTGCTTTCTGCACCACTGTTACATTGCTGTATTACTGCATTTCATCCCCTCACTTCTGTATATCATTACAATTGTTTCAGACTGCACTTTTCCACTTATAGTTGCCACTGATGAACAGCTGCATCCTACTAAGGTATATTGTAGGAGGAGAGCTGCAGCTCATGAAAGCTTATGCCCTTTAACAAAATGTATTAATTGGAAAAGGTGCTATGATATTCATTCTGATTTCTCCTATCAGGGTATGCTTATTTATTGGTGGCATTACTCACCAAGTCACAACACTGTCCTTGGATATAAGAATTATTGACTTTTTCACATTATTCTTTCTACATCCTGCTAGTGTTGCCATTAATTATCCATGTATTTAGCAAAGGTTATTTTGTAGCCAACAAGTATAATGGTCATTCGACCACCTACAACCCAATGGATGCCTCTGGTAGCCTAAAACTCAGCCCCAAGGCGTACATAATGGAATAATACAAAAAAGCAATGTTAAAAAATTAGTAAAGAGTATGAAATCCAGCTGAAGCATCTCTCCAAGGAAGGAGCTTCTGTTAACAACATGGAAGAGGTGGCTTCCCCTTTTTCTGCAGCCACCTCTCATAACCTGCTCACTCCAGATTTGAGACCATTCTGGAGTTGCCAGGGGAAGAAGAAATGAAAGTTCCGCCATGCTGGTAGGTGTTTGCTACAGTAACACCCTACAATTAGAAATCAAAAGCTACAAATGAAAGAGGATTTCAGGGAAGAAATCCATCCTCTTATGAGCTCTCAGCCTGAAGTTAGATTTGCTTTACTGAGAATAAAGAGTCAAGAGAGAGGGTGTCCCTGGGGCACCACCTAGTCTCTATCAAAGTCCTGCTTCACCCATATTCAGAAACAGAAATATAGATGAGTTCTTCTCGCATAGTGTACAATGGAAACAGAAAGTCCATAGTTATGGCATTTTGATGAAAGCCTGTTTTTCCATAGTGAATCCAAAACTGATGATTTCAGGTCAAAGTGACATGAAGCTGAAGACTTTGATTCAACCCCCCACCTTCACTCTACAATCATTACCCCCCCCCTTTTTTTTTCTTTTCTATTACCTTGCATGGGTGATAGAAATTGAGATGATATTAGATTTTCATTCAGGCTTTTGGTCTGCAAACATTTCTATAATCCTGCCAAGAAAGCCTATGATATACAACTGGACCAACTCTTTTATATGGGAATGCTAGTGCCACATTACGTTTTCAAATTCTTAATGCTGATACTTAACATTTTGCATATACATATTCATTTAAGAGGAGGCAGCTCTTTGCTGTAGCAATGCCCTGATTCTTTTCAGAAAGCTACTGAAAATATGTTTAAAAATCACATCTGCTCCTCCCCCTCCTTGTCTTTTACAGTGGGCCAGGAGTCCTCAGACTCATCTTGCATATTTATGATTGTTCAGAAATATTGACTCGTGATCTGTCCTCGTTCTGCTTTGCTGGTCTTATTGACTGAAGTAAACTAAGTCAGCTGTTCTGGATCTGTATTGGATCTGTGCATCTCCACCCAAACCTCCTGATGCACTGATGTTAGGAAAGTTGTGTAATAAATTTAGCCATGGTGAGATTTCTGAGATTTAACATAGTGTTCTCAGTGTAATGCACATAAGGCATTCTTCCCCAGTCTACTTTCCTCCATATGTGTCAAATTTCTGGTTTTTA